TCCTCAGTTGCCGGGATCCATATGGAACCGTCTGCTGAAGGCCTGGCTTCTTCTGCCACTAGCTCGTTTGCTGGAGGCTGAATTATCAGTAGAAAATCTTCATTCCCTGAAAAATCTAGTTTGCTAGAGTGATGTGGGTCCTTCTTCTCAAAGGTGTCTTAGATTAAAATTCCCAGGCCAATATGTGGCGTGATGGTTATGGCACTGATTTTCACATGGCAGACAGCACGGTTCAAGTCCCGGACCTGGCACCTTGAAAACTATGCTGGTTGCATGTGAGTGTTCCCAAAACCTGAGAGAAGAATAGAGGAGAAGAGACTGTGGCATGACTATCCCCCTGGAGGATGATTTCTCACTTTCTCTCTCTCTGTCTCTCTCCAGAGAATAGACATACCCTCTGACAAAAATCTAAAAAAAGAGACCAGCAGATGGAATAATGGTTATGTTGCTGGACTCCCACAGTCAACCGTGATTTGAGTCCTGGACCCAGTGGCTTAAAACTCACACAGTGTGTGTGTGTGCCCAATATCCTGAGAGGAGAAAGGAGGACAAAGGATTGCAGCATGGCCATCCCTCTATGGGTGATTTCTTGCTTTCTGTCTGTGTCTCTCTGGTGTCTACACATGCCCTCTAGCAGAAATCTCTTTTAAAAAAATTTCCTAGAGTCCAGCAACTGGCATGGTGGTTAAGGTGCCATATAGCCAACCATGGTTCGAGTCCCGAACCTGGTGGCTTGCTTTCTCACTTTCCTCTCTCTATGTCTCTCTGGTCAAATTAAAATAAATGAATGAATAAATGAAATTGAATAAAATAATTTTTAAAAATTTCCTAATATACGAACCAAAAGTAGACTTAAAGAGACAGAGTGTTCTACCTATCAGCCAAGTTTATAAAGTATATTCTAATGAAAATAGTAAGTGCATTTACCTTTTGGAACCACAACTATGTTATTTGAGTAAAGGTACCTGGAGAGGAAAAAAAAAAAAAAAAAACAGCTGTGATCATTTGGCACTTTTGCCAGTCAATCAGTTTATAAAATGCTCACCAGAAATTGATAAATATAAATGGGCCCAAACTCACTTTACACCCTACTATAATGTAGTGTCACAAGGCGTGGTTATCACAATTAACTACTAATTACATCTTGAAAATATTTTATTTTAAAATTGCAAACAGTGTATCTATTTACTGATTTTGTGGCTATTATAAAATAAAACCATACATGAGGTATTTTTTTTTTGTCAACTTCATAAAAGAAGCTACTATTTTCTCCAATTCATTTTAAATTTAGGTTTTCATTTTGTATTTATGATATAAAGAAAAATCAGGGTCTGGAAGGTGGTATGGTGGTTGAGGCACTGGACTCCCACATGGCTGACTGCAGTTCGAGTCCTGGGCCTGGGGGCTTGCTTTCTCACTTTCCCTTTCTTTATTTCCCTGTCTCTTTCTGGTCAAATTAAAAAAATAATAACAAATGGAATTAAATAAGTTAATAACTTTTAACGAAAAAAGAAAAATCAATAACTAACGTGTAAAGCAAAATACAACTTTTAGTTTCTAATGGATAATGTCACAGACTAATCAGATCAAAGATACTTTCAGCTGCCAATCTTGCTGAGAAACAAGAGTGGAAAAATGAAATATTTCTGAAGGTATAGTTTTATATGATAGCAAAAAAAAAATCATATACAAGAAATCAAATTCTTATCTTTAAAAAAAAAAATCAGGGGCCAGCAGATGGTTATGGTGCTGGATTCCCACATGGCCAGCCACAGTTCAAGTCCCAGACCAGGCAGCTGGAGGATCACAGGTGTGTCTATTTGCATGCTTAAAATCCTGAGAGGAGAATGGAGGAGGAGAGAATACAGTGTGGCCATGCATCCTGGGGGGTGATTTCTTACTTTCTCCGTCTCTGTCTGGTGACCACACATACCCTATGGCAAATACCTTAAAGAAAAAAATAATTGAAGGCTGACGAGTTCAGGCAGTTCTAAGTAAATAACACTTTTCTACAGAAATATCGTTAGCACCCTCTAGTGGAGACTTGTGCAACCAACAGGGATCAATAATGCAGCAAAATCACAGAGACCATCGGAAGTTGTACAGTAAGAATTTAAGAAAATAAATGCATATTGTTGAATTTGAGACAGCAAAACTAGATTTAAGTAAACTTCACTTTCAAATCTAACATTTATTTATTGTACTTCAAAATACACCCTCCTAATATATTTTAAAATAGAACTCAGAAATTTTCTTCTACATTTTCTTTTCTTTCTTTCTTTTTTTTTGAGCAGTTTTTGCTATAAGGTGCGTGTGCTTACCAGAAAGAGAGAGAGACAGAGAGACAGAGAGACAGAAAGAAAGAAATCACCCCTCCAGGAGGGATGGCCATACCGCAGTCCCTTCTGCATTCTCCTCTCGGGATCTTGGGCACGCACATGCACACATGCCCAGCGTGAGTTTAAGCTGCCGGATCCAGGGTTTGAACTCATAGGATTCAGTGACATAGCCATTGTGCCAACTGCTGGTCCCATTTTTCTTCTACATTTTCAAGTCTAATACTAAACGTGAAAATGTCAGTGAGCACAGAAAATGACAGGAAATTAGAAATTTGATGAAGATTATTCTATGCTGAATTAACTGAATTTTCTACATGGTATTAACCTACTTGATATAATATGATTTGAACAGGTACACCATGACGTGATACATTTCATTCTTGCTTCGTGTATAAAAAATGATGACCCATTTAAAAAATCAATGTTCTTTTATTGTAAAAGAATTATTTAATATTATTATTAAATTTGCTCTAGGGCATGTGTGCTTACCAGAGAGAGACAGAGAGCAAGAGAAAGCAAGCTGGGACTCAAACCATGGTCGTCCACATGAGAGTCCAGCACCTTAACCATCATGCCACCTGCTGGTCTCATAAAATCAATATTCTTTTATTTATTTATTTTTTGAGAGGTTTTCACTATAGGGTGCGTGAGCTCGCTAGATAGACAGAAACATAGAGACAGAAAGTGAGAAATCACCCCTCGGGGGGGATGGTCACTCCGCAATCCCTTCTCCTCCATTTTCCTCTCGGGATCTTGGGCATGCACACACATGCACCCGGCGTGAGTTTTAAGCTACCGGGTCCGGGACGCGAACCACGGTCAACTATGTGGCAGTCCAGCGACATAGCCATTACGCTAACTGCTGGTTCCCCAAATCAATATTCTTTACACATTAATTTCAGGAAGAAATACCTACTTACATGGTAACAAAAGACTGTACATGATTGTGGGTGTACATATATACAAGTCCACACACTTATATTTCTTATAGGAAAGCCAGAGAGCTTCGACACCAAAATAAAGACAGAACTGACTTTAAAAATTGTTTTCAGCAAAATAACTGCTTGACCTGAAGTTTTACTTATTAAAAAAAAAAAAGAAAGAAAGAAAGAAAGAAATTTAGAAGGCCCAAATCAAAATACCAACCTAAGTACCCACTATTACAACTGAAAAATAATTTTTATATGTAGAGATTTTTGCTATAGGGCACACGTGCTTGCTGGAGAGACAGAAACAGAGCAAAGACAGTGAGAAGTCAATCCCTCCTGGGGGCGGGAATGGCCACACCACAATCTCTTCTCTTCCATTCTCCTCTCAGGATTTTGCACACACACACACACACACACATTCAGCCTGAGTTTCAAGCTGCAGGTCCAGGATTCAAACTGAGGTCGGCCATGTAGGAATCCAGTGCCTTAATCACTACGCCACCTGCTGGCCCACGACTAAAAATGTAAAAGTACTTTCACACATTTCACTTACCCACATTATAATGAAGATGCTGAGAGTGTCTCCAACCCCGACTAAACATTAGAGTCATAGAGGATCGCAGAGGGCAGCCCCTGAGCCAACAGGGGGAACTACAGAGGCCCCCCCCCATCTGTAAAAGCACGTAAGACAGCAGGTGGCATGGTGGTTGGGATGCTAGACTCCCACATGGCTGACCATGGTTCGATTCCTGGACCTGGAGGCTTGCTTTCTCTCCCCACCCCACCCCCGCATCTCTCCCTGTATCTCTGGTCAAATTAAAAATAAATCATAATAATGATAAATAAAATTAAATCATTCTTTTTAAAAAGGCAAATAATAGCAGCACTGACAACACGGGGATGGGAGCGATGCTTTGCACAGAGTAAGCACTCGGTGAATATCACTGGTATTACAGTTATCATACGTCATATAATATTCCACAACAAAATATGAACACACAAAATACAGGAAGGATTACACTCCAGGACCAGATGGGATTTACCCCCATCATGTCAGGTTGGTTCTATCTATCAAAAAAGTATCAATCAATATAATACAACTAATTCTAATAACAATCATTTTAATAGATGGGGAAAAGTAGCATTTGACAAAAATCAAACACCCATTTTAAAAAATTTATTTATACATTCATTTTTTTTTAATTTGACCAGAGAGAGAAACAGAGGGAGAGAAAAAGAGAGGGGGGGGGAGTGAGAAAGCAAGCCACCAGGTCCAGGACTTGAACCAAGGTCAGCCATGTGGGCATGTCCAGCACCTTAACCACCATGCCACCTGCTGGTCCCCAAACATCCTTTTAATGCTAAAAATACTCAACAAAAGAGAAGTCATGACCTTTCTGAATAATACAGAGGGTGCTATGAAAAATCCACAGCTAACATTACATTTAATGGCAAAGACCGAAAGTTTCCTCCTAAACATTGTCTAGAAAAACATGAAAATGTCTATTTTCATCATTTCTATTCAGTACTTTATATTCTAGCAATGGAACTAAATCCAGAAAAAGAAATGAAAAGAATGTAGGGTGGAAAATAAGAAGTAAAACTGTCTACTGACAGATGACATGATCTCATATACTTTTTTTTAGTTGTAAGGAACACACACACACACACACACACACACACACACAATTAAACCTAAGACTTGAGTTCAGTAAGGTGGGAATATTCAAGACCAATATATAAGAATCAGCTGCATTTTTAGTCTATGAACATTTCAGTCTATGAACAATTCTAAAGTGAAATTATGAAGAATTCCATTACAATAGATTCACAAAGAATAAATATCTAAGATTAAAGGTAACAAAATAGGGACCAGCAGATGGAGTAATGGTTATGTCAGCAGACTCCCATGTAGTTGACCACAGTTTAAGTCCCGGACCCGGCAGTTTGAAACTCATGCCAGGCACATGTGGGTGTGTGCATGCCAAAAATATCAAGAGGAGACTGGAGGAAAAGGGACTGCAGCGTTTCCATCTCCTCTGGGGGGAGTGATTTCTCACTTTCTGTCTCTCTGTCTCTCCAGCAAGTGCACATGCCCTATAGCAAAAAAGAAAGAGACAAAGAAAGAAAGAAAGACTCTCTTAAAAAAGGTTAGCAAAATAATTTCAAGAATTTTATACTAAGAAATATCAAATATTAAAAATAATTGAAAGTCTAAATAAGGGAAAGACATACCGTATTCCTGGAGTGGCAGATGTAATATCATTAAGATAGCAGCATGCCACAAATTAATCTGCATATTTGATGTAATCAAAAGCACAACTACAGCCACCTCATTTTGTACAAATTGAGAGGTCAAAGTTAAAATTCCCAAGGGGGACAGGAGGTGGCATGGTGTTTAAGATACCGGATTCCTACATGGCAGACCATGATTAGAGTCCCAGACCCAACAGCTTGAGAATCATACCAGTCACATGTGTGTGTATGCCCAAAATCCTAAGAGGAGAATGGAGGAGAAGAGATTGTGGTGTGGCCATCCCCCCTGGGAGGTGATTTCTCACTCTCTGTCCCTCTTTGTCTCCTTGGTGAAGGAATGCACCCTATGGCAAAAAAAAAAAAAAAAAAAAAAAAATCTAAAAAATAAAAAAAAA